AGCGGCTTGGGAGTGGAGTCGACCATCGTCAAGCAGGGGGCAGTCAACAAAAGGAACGAATCTGGAGGCCCCAAGTCGTGTGCCTTCGATGTTGCGGCACACCCTCCCTCCAAGTTCCCTCCTCATAGGTCCCTACAAGTATTTAACTCGTTGCGGGAATCCTCAACCGTACCACAACATCATTCTTGGGACGTCAGCGCCGCGAGTTCACGTCACTGCTGCGTTTTGGCGATCTTCTTTAGTCAAGCCAGGACAGCGTTCCTGGGACTTCAACACCGCGAGCGCGACTGTTGCGACCTGACAGTCCTAAATCGCGCTGGAACACCATTTCTGGGCGTCAACCATACGAATGTGCGCGGTGCTCTTGCGAGAGCCACATTTTGAAAAGGTACCGCATTCCATCAATGACAGTGTTGTAGCTTTTGCCAGACGAATGTGGGCGGCGCTCAGGCGAGAGCCAGCTTTTGAACATGGGCCGCCCTCCATCCGTGACACGGTTTGAGTTTTTAAGACGAGTGTGCGCGGCGTTGCGGCGAAAACCGCGCTTTCGCCCTCCATTTCGGAAGCTGCTGCAGACTTTTAAGACGAATGTGCGCAGCGCTCGGGCGAGAGCCACATTTTGAAAAAGAGCCGCCCTCCACCCGTGAAGCCTTTGCAATCTTTAACACGCATGTGCGTGGCGCTTGGGCGAGAACCCCATTTTGGAAAGGAGCCGCCTTCCATCCGTGAAACTGTTGCGCGTTTCTTAACCTCCAGGACCGTGAGTGGCGGGGAAGGCTCAGGCGAATCATCCAACCCGCCGTAAGGAAAAGGTTTGGAGGATGATCAGGAGGAGCAGGAGGCGCAGCCGGAGGAGCAGGAAGCGGAGGAGCTGGCGGCGTAGGGTAGGCCCCCATGGTGGGCGGGAGCCGAACACCGACTCCGCGCCCCCGCGCTCGCCGTGCGTCGCTATCCGCTTTCTGCGCGCCCGCCTGGCGCGGGTCCTGGCGGCGGTGCCGCCCTGTTCGGGTCGGACCCCAGGGTGGGAAGAAGGAAGTGAGGCGGTTACGGGGTCTGCTGCGTGCAGCTGGTTTCGGCCCCGCCGCTGCGCCGTTTCCTCCATGTCGAGGGCGCCTAAGGCGAATCACCGCCCCCCCCCTGCTTTTTGGAAGCGCCTATGTGGCCGAGGTTGTGGCCAGAGCCCGGCAAAACTATCGGACCATGTGTTCCCCCAGCCGTTGCGGAACCGCTCCGGGAACACGTGGGGGAAAACGAAGAAGAGGAGGAGACATTTTGTCGGGCTTTCCTTGAGGTTCTCTCGCAGGCCTCTTTGGGGCCTCTTGGGCCGTCTCGGGACGTCTTGGGCCCATCTTTGGCCGTTTTGGAGACATCTTGCGGCCTTCTTGGGATCTCTTGGTGCCATCGTAGCCGTCTTGGAGCCATCATGGCCGTTTTGGAGCGGGAAGACCGATTACGTGAGAAGCTTACTGATTCTTCCAGAGCGCGAAGACCGATGAAGTGACACATTTGCGGGTCATTGTGGGGCGGGAGAACCGATGAGTTGGGCAGTTTACATGTCCTTCTGGGTGGTTGGCGCATTAGGTCGAAGGCCCTTCGGAACCTTTTAAAACGATCAGCAGCTAAAGTTTGCAGCGCCGTGCATCGCTGTGGCAAGCGAGCAGGCGCGGCGGAACCCCCTGTTGGACGGCCACAGGGTGCGCGGCGTGCCAACCATTCGGTCGTTTTTTGGGGGGGGATTTTGTTTGTTAAAGTTCGCAGTGGGTTCTCGGCCGATCGCGCCGCCACCTGGAAGAGGTGGCATGCACATATTCTTTCTGATCCAGATGGCTCCTATCTTATTTCCCATGCGGCTCATGTGGCCTCCCAGTCGGCCAATTTGGACCCAGGAGAGCCCAGTATGGCCGCAATATGTCTGCAACACAGCCCAAGATGCTCCCCAGAGGCGACTGTATGTCTCCACGTTCCTGCGTTTTGTCTTCTGTTTTGCTTTCTTTGTTTTGTTTCTTTGTTTCGCGATTGTGTTGCGTTGTTCTTGTTTTGCTTATTTTGCTGTGCGCGTTGTGTGGCTTTCTTTGCTTCTTTTGTTGCTTCGTCATTTGATTCGCCTACCAGGAGAATCTGATTACAAAGCCGTGCGAAAGGATTCTATGTGTAATTGGCATAGTGAAATTCATTGTGCTAATCGCATGCACAAGGGATTATTGTGTAAAGCCTCGCAAAAGGATTCAATGAGCAGTCCACACACTAAGAATCAATACTCAAGCAGCAAATCGCCTGCAACACAGTCATATTGCAAAGCCGAGCACAAGGACTACGTGTACTCGGCGCACTAGGAGTCAGTGGTGAACTCGCCTACAATAGGATTCCCTCTGAAAAGGGAGCCAGAGAAAGTCTGAGGGGAGGGCGAAGCAATCAAAGAGAAGACACGTACATCCTCGACTGAGTTTTTGTCAGTTCCATTGGCATAAGATATGCAAAGGCCTCCACCCCAACGCGAGTGGAGTAACCTTGCTATCAGACACTTTTAGCGTGCTTCAGTCATGCAGCGCAAGGTCGTGCAAAAAAAATGGTTGGTGGCGGGGGGGGGGGGGGTCACGAACAAAAACTGTTTCGTTTTTCCCCAAGTTGGCTTGCCTAGAGGGTTCCTACTTGTCTAAAGGTTGGTGCCAACTAATGTTGCGTTGCCCGTTGCTCGGGGGTTCCCTGGGTTCCCCTGGTTCCCTGGACCAGGTGCCTTCTATGATTACTTTGTCCATTTCTCGAGGTTCCCCGGGCTCCCTGGGTTCCCTGGGTTGCTGGGGTTTCCCGCCCCTGGTGCCTCGTTCCTCGGAGGTTCCCGAGGTTCCCTGGGTTCCCCGCTCCCGGTGTCTCATGCCAAGCAATGCGAAGCAACGCCAAGCCAAGCAATGCCAAGCAATGCCAAGCAATGCTAAGCAATGCCAAGCAATGCGAAGCAATGCCAAGCAATACAAAGCAATGCCAAGCAATACTAAGCAACTCCAAGCAATTCCATGCAGTGCCAAGCAAGGCCAAGCCATGCCATTCAATGCCAAGCAATGCCAAGCAATGCCAAGCAATGCGAAGCAACTCCAAGCAATTACAAGCAATGCCAAGCAATGCCAAGCCATGCCGTTCAAGGCCAAGCCATGTCGTTTAATGCCAGGCACTGCCAAGCAATGCCTAGCAATGTGAAGCAATGCCAAGCAATACAGGGCAATGCCAAGCAGTGCCAAGCACCGCCAAGCAATGCCAAGCAATGCCAAGCAATGCGAATCAATGCGAAGCAATGCCAAGCAATGCCAAGCAATGCCAAGCAATCAATGCCAGCAATGTCAAGCAATGCAAGGCAATGCCAAGCACTGCCAAGCACTGCCAAGCACTGCCAATCACTGCCAAGCACTGCCAAGCACTGCAAAGCACTGCCATGCATTGCCAAGCACTACCAAAAACACTACGAAGCAATGCCAAATAATGTCAAGTAATGCCAAGCACTGCCAAACAATGCCAAGCACTGCGCCCGTGCAATAGGAAGCTTTCCCCTAATTGGGGTCGCGCCGAATTTATTATTTGTTTTTTTGTTCCAGCCTCCTTTCAATGTTTTCCGGTTCCCCTCCAAAGAGGATCCTTTCCCCCTGTGCGAATTGCATATAGAAATCTTTTCTGCGGCTTCACGATCGGATTGTTCTTGTGGGCGAGTTGCACATTGATTCCTATTGTGCGAGTGACAAACGGAATCCTCTTGTGTGGCTCTACGATCGGATTTCTTCTTCTGTGATTCACACATTGATTCCTATGGTGTGGGTTACACATCGACTCCCTTTGCACGTCTTTACACTCGGATTCCTTTTGTAGGCGATTTACATATTCATTTCCATTGTGTGGATTGCAAGTATCTGGCTTTACAGTCGGATCCCTTCTGTAGGCGATGTATGTTCCATTTCTATTGTACGGGTTGTGCATCAAATCCGCTTGTCCGACTGCTATCACACCACGTGCAACGCTCGGTGGGCCGCGCACCAAAGATCACTCTTGCCTGGGGCCTCTCTCCTATAGCCAAGTTTCTCGAGTTCCCTGTTCGATTGCCTCCTTTGGCCTCCTTGGTGCTAGCTCGCCGTGTCACATCCAACCTAGGCAACCCGCGCTGAACGATCGCCAGCGCCGCGACAAGTTCGATTGCCTGCCTCGGAGGTGGAGGTCGCTGAGCATCGAGGTTTCTGCGCGTCTCCGATATCTGTTCAGGTCCCGTGCTGGCATTCGGAGGCCTCTAGAGGCCGCTGGAGGGAACTCGGGGGGGACCTCCGGAGACCTCCTGGGAGGTGGATGTGGTCAGGATCCCCTCTTCAACAAACGTGCTGTCGAAGAGTTTGCGTGATGCCCGCTCTGTCTTCGGAAGGGGGTCTGGGTTCCCTGCGTCCTTCGTTTTTGGTCTTCCCTCGGGCGTTGCTCGTCGGTCTAGATCCCGCTTGGCCCGAGCGACGGTGGTCGTTCCGTGCCCGCGGTTCTTCCCCCTTCCTTTCCCTCGCAAGCCCCTCTTCCTCCCCTCCTCTTTTTCACTTGCTCCGCTTCCCAGAGCCCCTGGGACGGCACACGGTGGGCTTGCGCTGCGTTTCTTCGCGGCGGCGGTCCCCGCGCGTGCGTTCAAGACTGAACGCCGTCAGCGGCCTGGAATCGGCCGATATCCAACGACCTTGCGCCATCACAACGCCGCGATCGTTCAAGGCAGACAGGATCACGTGGTGTCAGAAGCCAGTGCCGAAGTCGTCGCGGTGTGAACTTGCCGTGCCCGTCTGGCCAGCAACCCCCGCGGCGAGAGGGGCGGAGGGCGGAAAGACGTGAGGGACCAGCCGCCACCACCACCTGCCCCGAGAACCGGGTGGGGGATGGGGAGCCAAACGGGGGAGGGGAGGAGAGGCGCGCCGACGCCGCGACGCTCACTGGAGCTCCTGCCCCCTCGACTGGGCTCGGCCCCCCCCCCCACGCGCGCCGCCCGCCGTCCCGAGGGATCCCGCCGGCGCAGCTGCGAGCGAGGCCGCGGCCGCCCTGTGGACCGGCAGCGCCGCGGGGGCGGGCGGGCGTTGCGCGCCCGTAGTTCCTCGCCTCCGTCGTCTCGTCGCCAGTTGCTGGCGATGAAGCTGTGGGTACTTCTAAAGGAGCTCGTGGCCGCCTCCATGGGCGAGCCGAGGCCTGATGACCTAATGTGCACCACGGGGTGGTTTGGCTCAACGGCAATCCGATTCCCAAATCCAAGGGCTGACGGGCGCCGCAACGGCTGCGCGCTGAGACCGTGGAAGGAAACACGTTGCAACCACCGTTTGAGAACCACTCCGCAGGAGCCCCCTCCGCTCGCCAGCTGTGCTGTTGCACAGGCGGTTAGCGTTCCCAGAGGAGTGGGGCCGGACAAGGCTTGATCCCAGCATTTCGAGCGCAATACCGTGACCGAGGTATAAGATCGATGTCGGCTCGGGGAGGGTACCCCAGTGTTCGTCGTTTTTGTTGTGTGTTCTTGTGCATCCTGAGGAAGAGTACTCTTGAAGATTCTCCGGTTTGGCTGGTGGAGCGTCTCATGTTCTTGAAGGATGTTCCTCTGTCCTTGGTCCGGCTGTACTTGCCAATCAGGGACCAGAGGGTGGAGGGGGGATGCGGTTCTTTCTAGTTCGGGCGTTGTTGTTGCACATATTTGTCCCAGCCAGATTGGATCTGGCCGAAGTCGAACGATTAAGAACATCATGATCATAGATTCCTGATTGTCTGCGCGGATTTCTTGGATCGGCGTTGGCCACCCCCTGGCGCGCTCCGCCCGCCAGGGAGGTGGGTCCAACACCGATCCAAGACATCTGCATGGAGATCCGAATGTTTGCATTTGTGCAGCTTGGTCTTTCTCCAGTGGCGGATGCTGCATCGGCTGCACGCTAGGAGGGGACCTTGGCCGGAGTGAGCTTCGGTGCGCGTCTGAACTTTTGAGGATAGGTACGGGTGCCGCCGCCCGCCCATCCCTTGTTGCCACGGCTGGATGCGCTTCGGAATCCTGGCCAGAACGCACCCACAAGACAGGTCTGGGGAGTAATGTTATCGGTATCTTTTGATATCCCCGCGTCCGTCGGTTCCTGGAGGCTTTCCTACCTCGGCATGCGTTCCAGCAGGTGCGCCACGACCCGAGCGCTCCAGATCGTCCCGAGCGGCCGCACGAGGCCCGAGCCATGACCCGCAAGCCAGACGAACCCTCGGCGGAGTGACCTTCGGTGCGCGGCCTTCGAAGGGGCGCGTGGGGGCCAGACCCCAACGCACGCCAGTCGCTAACGCCGCACCGCATGCAGCGATCAGCAAGCCGCGCCCTAGAGGTCGCTTTTGCTCAGGGGTCGCTCTTGTTTGTAGCCGTGAGCGGCGGGGGCTTGAGAGCTGAGGGGACGATTCTGTAGGTGAGAGGGGGGGAGGGGAGAGAGGGGGAGGGGAGGATATCTGAGTAGGGAAAGGGGTGGGGGGGACTGGGAGGAGGAGGAGGAGGAGGAGGAGGAGGAGGAGGAGGAGGAGGAGGAGGAGGAGGAGGAGGATCAGGAGGAGGAGGAGGAGGAGGAGGAGGAGGAGGAGGAGGAGGAGGAGGAGGAGGAGGGTGGGAGAGGGAGAGTGGAGTGGCAGGGGGGCGAGGATGGGGAAGGATGAGAGACGGGGGGGGGGACGTGGGACGGATGCCGAGGGTATCTTTCAGACTACAGCGTGCCAAGGGATGGCCCAGCTCGGCGTGCGCCCTCCTGCCCGCTCCACGCCGCTCCTTCCTCCTGCCTCCTCCCCTGGCTTGCCAGGACCGCCAGCCTCGACGGGCTCGGCCTGGGCAGCTCCTGGAGCTCCTCGGCCCGGCTCAGCGCCGAGTGGCCGAAGGTGCCGCGTGGGAAGCGTGGGGGCAGACTCGGGGCGGACTGTCCTCCCCCCCCCTCCTCCCCCTGACGTTGAAGCGTTGGTGTGAATCATGCAACTGCAAGCGCTCCAGTTCGCCATACTTTTTTCGCTGGGATGCGCCTGCCAGGCTGGGGCACTTCAGTTTTGAACGCCTGCTGCTGTCATGGCGGCCCCGGAAACTACCCCCCGCTCCCGTCTCGGCTGTACTCGGCGGTGGCGGTGGTGGCGCCAGCGGCAGGCCTTCTCGGCACGTGCACCGCCCGCCATTCACGTACATGGAAGGAGCACGCCTGGAGCAAAGCCCGCGGCGAACAAGCACCCCGCCCCGCCCACACAGCTGCGCAACTCGAGCGCATCAGAGCCAGTCGTGCCGTGGCCAGGCAGAGGCGCAGACGCCGCCGTGCACCCTGGCGTTTCGATTGCATCCTGTGGCCTGTCGATCAATCGTGTGGTTTTCATTCGCCAGACCACGACCTCGCGTCCAGGGCACCGTCCGCCGCCGCCGCCGCCCCCCTCCTCCTCCTTAGACCGAAGAAGAGACAACTGTATAAACATAAACTTTCGGAGCTCCGCGCGGATTTCTTGGATCGGTGCTGGCACCCCGTGGCGGCGCCTCCGGCGCCGCCTCTGGCGCGCTGCGCGCGCCAGGGATGGGTGTCCAGCGCCTATCCAAGAAATCCTCGCGGAGCTCCGAATGTCTACGTTTATGCAGTTGTCTGTTGTTCTTCTTTTGGAGGCCTGCCGCCCGAAGGTTGGTCCGTGGGCGCTATCTTCTCCACCCGCAGGCAGCCATCTGTCTGTGCGCTTGACACCTGGCCCCTTCGGGTTCGTCCCCTCCACGGGGATCTGCACGGCGATTCGGGAAGAGCGGGGAGGCCGATGTAGCACCGCGTGGCCTTCTGGAGGCGGTTCTCGGGCCCCAGGGCCGCCGATAAGCCACGCGGCGTGAACATGTGGTCCTTGGAGGGGAAGGGCGGGTCGGTTCGGGCTCATGGGTCCTTTGCAAAGGGTGTCTCAAAATTGTGCGCAATAGTTCGTGCAATCGTTCGTGCGGGGTACGCACGACGTACGATATCAGCACGTGGCTGCTGCGCGTTTATTCCTGTTGCGATCCCATTACGAAAGACCCACTTTGCCCGGAACCAAGTGGTCGAGAGGTCCAGGGCCCCTGTCTCGACAAAGTCGAGCCGCCAGATCTCTGGGTCGCCCTCTCCTGTTTACCTCGGGCCTCCCGTGCCGTCCCCCCGTCCTGCGTACTGCAGCACCGCATATTTGGCCACGTTGTGCTCTAAACTTGCTAGTTGCAGCCAGTCGCTTCATGCAGCCAGATGCAATATTGACGATATTGTGCACGATCTCAGGGACAATCGATGTCCTTGGCACGGGAACGTAAATCTCAACATCCTGTGTGCGTCTTGCCAGGGTCTGCGTAGGCGTGCCATAATATCACTCCGCACCCGTTAAGTAATGACAGCTTGTCTCTGACACATGATGGACCTCCCCTTTGGGGCAGATGAATAGACGCCGCGTGGTGCGAAGCCATTTTTTATCACGCGCGCTAGGAAATCCTCGCGGGCGCCGCCGAGGGAATCGTCTACCCCCTGCACTGCAGCCTCCAAAAAAGTGCCTCTCGTATCGAAGTTGGTATAGGGATCGTATATATCCAGGGCGAAGATGTTCCCCCTCTCAGGCTGATTATTGACGTGCCCCAGTCGTCGTCGTCGTCGTCGTGGTCGTCGTCGTCGTCGTTGTCGTCGTCGTCGTCGGTCGTCGGTCGTCGGTCGCCGGTCGTCGGTCGTCGGTCGCCCGTCGTCGGTCGTCGGTCGTCGGTTGTCGTCGGTCGTCCTCGTCGTCGTCGTCGCCGACAACTACAGAGGGCACACGCAGCACCCCCGCACCTCCCCCGTAGAGCATGCGCAAGCGTCGTTGTCGTCGTCGCGTTGTTGTCGTCGTCCTCGTCGTCGTCGACGCCGTCGTCGTCGTCGTCGTCGTCGCCGTTGTCGTCGCCGTCGCCGTCGCCGTCGCCGTCGCCGCCGCCGCCGTCGTTGTCGTCGTCGTCGTCGTCGTCGTCGTCGTCGCCGTCGTCGTCGCCGTCTGCAGCGGGACTCGCAGCGCAGCACCCCCTTTCCGGGACATCCGCAGTGCGTTGTCGTCGTCGTCGTCGTCGTCGTCGTCGTCGTCGTCGTCGACGACTACACCGGGCATGCGCAGCACCCTCGCCCCCCCATGGAGCACCCGCGGTCCGTGGTCGTCCGCCGTCGCCGTCGCCGTCGCCGTCGTCGTCGTCGTCGTCGTCGTCGTCGTCGTCATCGTCGTCGTCGTCGTCGTTGTCGTCTCCGTCGTCGTAGTCGTCGTAGGACATTTTATTGGAAGGGGGGGAAAGGGGGGGAGAAAGGGAAGGAAGGGCTCTTTCTGCATGCCTCTGTCGCTCCTTTCCCCTCTTCAGCTTCCTGTTTGTAGCTATGTCGGCACGGCTCTCCAGCTGAGGCGCCTCTTTCCTTCGCCACGTTTTTTTTTTTTTTTTTTTTGTGGAACCATTTTGGCCCATTCGCCCCGCTATAGCGGAGGCGCTGCTGCCCCCCTCCGCTGAAGCGGCGCCGCTTGCGTCGCGTCTGTCGTCTTCCTGCTTTTTGCTGGGTGTCGGTTCGGCGCTAATCGCTAATCACCGCCGCCGCCGCCGCCGCCGTGTCCTTCTATTTGGCCAGCGCGTCCCCTGCGGTTCGCCCCAGCAAAGGAAACGTGTTTTCAATCGCGCGCCCCACTTGTTCCCTGACCTTGCAGAGGGTCTCCCGCTTAGTGTTCCCATCCTTCCATATCTGGCCCCGACCGCAGGCGGAAGGCCAACAGAAGCCGGCGGAGGACGGCCACAAAACGGCCGCAGACGGCCGTAGACGGCGGCTGACGGCCACGGGCGAGCTTCGAAGAAACCCAGGAGGCGCCAAAATGTCCCCCGGTGTGTGCTCTAGGCGGACCAAAAGGCCATTCAAACGCCCCAGGAGGGCTTTAAGAGGATTTCCGGGAGGCCTGAACTATTTATTTTCGTTCGGGTTTTCCATGATTTGTTTCGGGCATCTGGCGCTCCAAGACGGGCCCAGAAGCTTCCACGACCGCTCCAAGACAGCCGGAAAGGCCCAAAGAGGCCGCCAGACGGCTCAATGTCGCCCCGAAACGTCCCAAGAGGCCCCCGTGACGACCCCAAGATTGCCCCAGAAACCTCCAACACGGCCGTGAAGTGCCCAAGAAGGGATTCACGCCTGCCCAGGACAGGCCCATGACGGCCGCTGAAGGCCAAGAGGCCGTCTAGACGCCCCAAAAGTGCTCCAAGACGATTTCCAGGAAACCCACAATTATTCAATCGCCTCGCGCATTCCGCCGGTCCATATTGCGCACCGCGGTCGACTGGCTGAGAGGTCGTCGGTAGTGCGGAGCTGCAGGGTGCGGCGGTTTTTTTGTTGCTGAGGCGTTGTGTTCGGCACGTTTGTGTTGAAGCGGCTCCCGTGGAACAGCTTCGTGTCGATTCGTGGCGATCCTCCAGGAGTGTATCTGTCATCACCAAGAATGAGCTGAACTGGCCCTGCAGCTGTCTTTGGGGCCTCTCGGGGGTATTTTTGAGGCCTCTTGGAGGCCTCTTGGGGGCCTCTTGGGGGCCTCTTGGGGTTCCTTGGCGGCGTCTTGTGGGCCCCTGCAGCCTCTTGGGGGGTTCTTGGGGGCCTCTTGGGTCAGGAGGGGGGGTAGTCGATTGCGCCCCTCCCCTCGGAGGCCACGATCCTCGTGAGGGGTGTCAACAAATTGCCCGGTCTGGCATCTCTGATCCGATTGTCCCGGGGGTCTCCCGGGGGTCTCCCGGGGGTCTCCCGGGGTACTTTTCGTCCGGGGACCCCCAGGGGCGGCCCCGCTCGCGCGAACTAGAATATTGTTAACCAGTTGCCGGAGATCTTAGCACGCCCTTGGCCCGTTTGGCCGGCGAATTGGTTCCCCCGTTTCTTTTGTTGTTTGTTTTGCTTGTGTGTTTTTTTGTTCATCTCATTTTTCGTTATTCCCAACGGTTTCAAAGATCTGGCCTTTTCGGGTTTCCGACGCCCCAGAACGGGCCCATAGGTCTTCAAGATTTGCTAAGGACGGCCCATGAGGCCCCCCAAGAGGCGCGGAAGACGGCCCCAAACCGCTCCAGAGCAGCCGCAAAGGCCTCCCAAACAGCCCCAAAAAGATTGCCCCAGGGACTTCAACACGGCTTTAAAGACCCAAAGACGAATCCACGATGGCCCAGGGAGGGCCCAAGACAGACTCTGAAAACCAAAAGGCCCCCAGGAGGTCTCCAGAGGTCTTCAACAGGCCCCAGGAGGACCTCCAGGAAACTGAAATCAATTAGTCCCTTGTGTTCTTTTTCTGTGATTTTAGCGTTCTCGCCATTTCGGGCTTCCGACGCTCCAAGACGGGCCCACAGGCCCCCCAAGACCCCAAGGTCGTCCCAAGACGGCCCGAGAGGCCCCCAAGCGGCCCGCAAGACGGCCCAAGGGGGCCTCATGACAGCCCTCCAAGACGGCCCCAGGACGGCCACAGAAACCTCCAAGACCGAACGGCCTCTGAATGCGAAGAGGGCACTGACAGGCCCCAGAAACCCAAGAGGCTCCTAGGAGGCCCCCAAGGGGCCCCTCAGAGCCCCCAGGGCTCCCAGGACCCCCCCTGAAGGCCTCAAGAGGGCCTCCAGAGGCCTCCTCCTCCTCCTCCTTTTCCTCCTGCCCCTCCTTGTCCGCCTCCTTTTCTGTTCCTCTCCTTAGTAATCCCCCAAGGGATTCCACAATCGTCCAATACCTTAGCCAGACTTCGGCCCAACGTTTGGCCGCACGGTCGTTCCAAAAGGCAGGCCGCGGAGGTGATTCGCCGTGGGCGTCGCCGATGACCCAATCTCGAGGCTTCAGGACAGAGGACTACAGGGGACCTGAGAAAACTCCAACTCGTGCCTCGCGGCACGGTGGCCGATGAGACGCCCTGCCTGGATCCCCCTCCTAATCTCTTTCTCGCAAGAAGTCCCCCTGCCCGCATGCGCTCCAAGGTCGGGGTTCGTGGTTCCAGCAGCTTTTTGTTCATCTCATCACAAGCTGACCTTCACGCAGGCGTGCGAACACGCAGCTGCCTTGCGCCCGACGCTGTTTTCCTCCCCCCGCCCGCCCAATCCGATGTTATTCCTCCCCATCGCTTCGAATTTGGGAGGAGCCTTCCTGCCCGCGCCGCTGATGGATTTGGATCAGCAGGGGCTCGCCAGAGGGGGTTCGCTTCTTTCGTGCCCCCTTGCAGTTCGGTGTGTGTGTGTGTGTGTGTGTGTGTGCGTGTGTGCGTGTGTGTGTGCGTGTGTGTGTGTGTGTGTGTGTGTGTGTGTGCGTGCGTGCGTGCGTGCGTGCGTGCGTGCGTGCGTGCGTGCGTGCGTGTCCAGCCGGTGCCTGCGGCCTCCCCGGAGCGCACCCGGCGCGCCCCAGAGCGCTCCGCAGAGTGGTCGCGGCCTCTCCGGACCCGCGGGCTCCCGGAGATCCCCGACGTAGCTCCATGCAGCCTTGTCTCCACCGTGCCTTCGCCTTACGCGTGACCGCTCACGTCCTCCTTTGCCCCGCGGTCGCCCATCCAGCCACCAACGTTGGAGGCGGGGGTCAGACATCGACCCTCTGGGGCGCATCCCGGAGTGCATTCTGGCAAGCGTGTCGAGGCGGGCCCCGCCGTGGCGACGATCATGCCCATGGAGGCCCCAACAGGCCCAAGCACGTCCCATGGCCTCGATCCCGGATCTTCGATGCCCTCGAGTCTCGAGAGCCCGCCGTTCTGGCGCCAGGAAGGCCCGCCCTGGGGAAGCAGTCGTGTGCGTGCCGATGCAGCCCTTCCGCGGACCCCTCCCAGGGTGCGTTCGGACCACGATTCCAAGGCGGGCCCAGACGTGGTGAGGAGGGCAGATGCGAAAGCATGAGGGAAGGGCATCGGTATCGGTGCGCTCTCCTTCCCGTGGCACCAGACCGCCGACGTCGTTTTTGTTCACAGCGTCCAGTTTCCTCGGGACGCGCGCTTCATGTCGCAGGCTCAGGGCTTTCAGACCTGCTTCATCGAAGCAAATTGTCGTTTTGTGGTGGTGGTGATTGTGGGAGAGTGAGACGCTTCCTCTTCCCTGGGTTTGGTTGCTTACCCTGAGTCGTTTTTGGACGGCCCCATGGGGGCGAAACGGCCCCTGGAGGCCGAAAGTGGCCAGTGACCTCTTGTTGTGGTTTCTTCACGATGCGAGGGGGTCAGGGGCCAGCCCACTACAGCGCCGGGCAAGCCCGCTCGGCGACCTCGATCCTCGATCCTCCAACGTCGATCCTCGAGCCTCAGACCTCCAATCCTCGAACCTCGATCTTCCTGCCTCGAGCCTCGAACCTCGGCGTTGGGGCCTCGAGCCTCGAGCCTCACACCTGGGGGCCCGCCCGCGCTGGCGCCGGGAGGGCCCGCTCGGAGAGCCGCCTCATGGGCAACGGCAGCGGGGGCGGAGAGCTGACGGGGAGCTCCAGCAAAGGGCCTCCCCCCCCCGAGGGATCGAGAGGTGGCCTTCTCCTCCTCCCTGTCACGCGCGAGGGGGGGGGGGCAGGGGGGGGGGGAAGGATTCTTAGAAGCACCCCCTGAAGGCCTGCGCCTTCCAAGAAGTAGCCTCCTGCTCAGAAGTCTTCCCTTCTCCCCCGACCCCCCGTTCAGCGCGCCGCCAATGCTCGGCGGGAGGCGGCGGAAGGCCGGCGGAAGGCCGGCGGCGGCGGTCCCGCCGGCGGAGGAGGGCCGGAGGCGGCGGCAGCAGAAGTGAGGAGTAGGCAGTTTCGCATTCAGGGTTTCCAGGGCCGCCCAGATGTGCTCATACCTCGAGCGCGTTGAGCAACAGCACCGAGGTTTGTGTGGGCCCTCGCCAGGCCCGAGGATCATAGACTCCAGATGAAGCATCGGCCCCTCCCCCGGGGAATGCTTCGGGATTCCTGGGTAGGACCCGGTATTGGAAAACCATTGCATCTGATCTTTTGGGGCGCATTGCACCCTTTCACCCGATAATCTCGTCGAATGCATGAGCGATCGCAGCCCCTGGATACTCAGAGACCTTGCGTCTCAATCTTCTCAATGCAGGGTCCCTGGAAGTTCCGACCCACTCTCCAGGGCAGGTTTTTTCTCGACTAGACGTAAGAGTGACCTTTCGCAGGAATGACCTTTGTTGCGGGTACAGACGGGTCCCCAGATGGCTGAGAACGAACCAGTAGCAGCTGCCTGCGTGCCCAGGTTTGGTCCCCCCGCGGTCCCCAAAAAGCCGCGCACCCAAGGTCACTCTTACCCAGGGTCACTCTTGCGTATAGCCGATTTTCATGCTGAGTCAAGTGTTTTTGATTCTCCAGAGTACGGCGAGGGCCCCCAGAGGCCAGCGACGTGGAAACACCCCCGTATCGGTTCGACGAAGCTCGGAATAGTAATTTGACTATATAACTGACGCTTCGCGTATCCCCATCAGCCTTACTGCATGTGCATACTCGCTTTCTTGCGGATTTATACTGCAGGTGCATTGCCTGTTGTAGCTGATTAGCTTCGCCTGCTGGCCCAGACGACGCCTACCGCTCCCTGTCCGCCGCCTCGGAGCCGCCGACCAAAAAAAGTATCCCCATCAGCTGTTGCATGCGTGCACCCTGGAGTGCAGCTTCCCAGCAGTTGCCGTCAGCCCCCTTCCACTCGCCGGCCTGGCCGCCGAGGTGCTGCGTGAGGCTTCGGCCCACCTCTTTAGGTTAATTTGTCTTTGCGCGGCCCGCTTTGACTGGACTCGCCGCTGGCGCTCTCGCCTGCGGCCGCTGACTAAAAAGTATCCCCATCAGCCCAGAAGCGATGCCAAGGCGAGCTGCCTTGATTATGGACGTGTAGGAGCAAGCGATTCTCTGTAGATTCAGGTGCAGTCTTCCTTGCTTGCTCCTAGCTTAGTCCACGCACCGCTCGGTGCTTGACGTACCAGTACCAGGAGCAAGCAGTGCAATGAAGAGAGGGTTAGCCATCACATCCAAGCTTGGGATCAGCCTGAGCAAACGCAAAAGTCAACCATAAGTGCCTTCGCGGATCTTTTGATATGGAAGCCTCTTGGAAGCTGATCCGGGCCATCTTGGGGCCTTTTGGAGCAACTTTTGGAATCTTTGGTGCTCCCTTCGGGCCAATCGGGGCCATCTTGAATCATAACGATCGCAAGCGAATGGGTCCTTCCTTCGCCTCGGGGCCTCGCCCAGTAGTGGGCAAAAGAAAACATCTCTTGGGGCCCTCTTAGGGTGCTCTTGCGGCGCTCTTGGGCGTTTGGGAGGGGGCCGTCTAGCAGCCTTTTTGGCCCACCACTTAGGGCCCTTGGGCGTTCTTGGGGCTATCTTGAGGCCGTAGAGGCCCACGGGGGGAAGCGAGGAGGCGAGAGGCCAGGCACATTGAAACACCTAGCGTGTTTCAGTGAGTTGGGCCTCTGGCTTCTCTAGGCCAATTAGTGGCCAATGGGAGCCGTGGCATGGCAGTCCTGTGCTGGAGTCATGATCGAAGTCGCCTTGAGCGCCATCCTGGGCTATCTTGAGTCCTCTCGGAGGCCATCTTTGGCTGCAGTCAACCCTGACAGTAAGGACGATCGACTTCCCAAAGGGTACCCTTGCATCCTTGCCTTTTCGGTCATCTTCGGTCCATCCTCAATCACTTTCGATGGCCAGCGCCGCTCCAAGAGCCTCGGCATGGGCGCCCAAGGCCCTTGCATCCTTACCGCGCATCCTTAACTATATATTGGGTTGGTGGCTACCTGGAGCACTCTTGGGCTATCTTGGACGCGCTGCACGCTCGCGGCCCCCCCCCCGTTCAGACCCAGCGGAGAAAGGACGGGGGAAGTGGAAAAAAGCCCTTCCCGGAATGAGAACAAGGGGGTCGGAATTGAGCGTCGCGTGATGGAGGGGCGATCATTTTTGGGGGCAGCGCGGGCTGCAGAACAGGGGCCCTCCCTGCAGGGGCCCTTTGGGGCCCCAAAGGGGGCCCTCAGGACCCGAGAAGTGCACCCTGCCCCCCCCCCCCTTCATCGCCCACCGATGGAGCGACGCCCACTTGGAAGGACGATCTCCCAGAACCACCGAATTACGGCAGGCTCGTGCCGTGTCGCTGCGGCGGCGACCAGCGCGGTCATTCAAGGCTGACTGCCGCGGGTGGCCCTGAACAAGCCGACGCCGAACGATCCACGTGGTGCCAGAAACCAGCCCCAAAGTCGACACGGCACGAACCTGCCGCATGCCCACCCCAGCTACCCGATGCTCTGATTTTTCCAATGCGGGGTTCCTGGACGTCCTAACCCTCCCCCGGGCCGGCTTCGTATCCCGAGTCGTTTTTTTCAGCCCCGGGGTCCGGTGAGGCCCTCAGAGGCTGTCTTGAATGTTTCCGTGCGTTGGAGGTTCGCCCCTCCCCCCCCACACGATGCCTTCGATCCTCGAGCCTCGCGCCTCGATTCTCGGCCCTCGAGACTTCAAACCTCAAGCCTCGATCATCGAACATTCGAGCCTCGAGCCTCGAGTGTTCAGTCTCGATCCTCGAACCTCGAGCCTCGAGCCTCGATCCTCGATCTTCGATCCTCGAGCCTCGATTCTTCGATCCTCGAGCCTCGATCCTCGAGCCTCGAGCCTCGAGCCTCGCACCTCGATCCTCGGTCCTCGGCCCTCGATCCTCGATCCTCGAGCCCCGAGCCCTGGTGCCGGCGCGGAGGCGGAGCGCCCTGCCGCGTCCCGGCGCGGCTGCGAGGAGCTGCGCGCCGCGCTGCTGGCGCGGAGCGCGCGGCTGCGGGAAGCGGAGGCGGAGGCGCAGGGAGGGGGGGAGGCTCGAGGCTTGGGGCTTGAGGCTTCGGGCACGGGGCTCTTGGTTCGAGGCTCGAGGATCGAGGCGCGAGGCTCGATGATCGAGGATCGAGGCTCGATGATCGAGGATCGAGGATCGAGGGTGGAGGCTCGAGGATCGAAGAATCGAGGCTCGAGGATCGAAGATCGAGGATCGGGGCTCGAGGCTCGAGGATCGTTTTCTAAGTTGGCTGAGCTGGATTTGTTTGCGCTGAGCAGGGTTAGTCCACGTCCGAGGGGAGGGGGGGAGGAGGGCGAGGGCCCAGACCTCAGGGTCCACTTCGATCCGACGCATTAGCTCCGATGTCGGTTCGGGCCAGCCGGGGCACGATCCTACGATTCTTTTCCGACAGTCCGCCGATCCGATGCGGGCGGGGCTGGGACCAGGGCAAATCGCTCCAGAGCGTTCCGGGAACGTGCTCAGAGCGTGCTGGAGCCTTCTGGAACGGCCGTCGCGTCCAGTGTATCCTCCAGAGCCGCCGCATCTCAGAGATCCCCGATCTGTTGTGGTCCGGTTCTGTTCCAGTTCTGGCCGCTGCCCAGACCTCAGCGTCCATGTCGATCAGGTCTCGATTCGATTTCTTTTCCAGCCGGCTTGGTCCGAGTCTGTTCCGATGTTCCGTGGTGTGGCCCATTCGATTCGATTTTGACTTCGTGCCGATGTGGTTCGATCCGATGCACGTTCCGATTTGATTTCTCGACGCTAGCTCATCTTGTCTCGCGCAGGATGACCGAAGCGGGGACGAACGCATTTGGGACGCTGGTTAGCAGCAGCTCTTGCCAATTTTGAGCATGGCTCGCTGTCGGTGTCACCGCGGACGTGGTCCATTTGAGGCAAGCCTTGCCTGCCCAGCAGCGGCCGCTGTTGGCGTCGGACAATGTCTGCTGCTCGCAAGCATTCTGATTCTTGTTCTGCCCCCATTCCTGCCTCGCCGGCTCGCCCGCCCGAGATTCGTGGCTCGATGCGGGACGCTCGAGGATCGGCAATCAATGGTGATGGTGGTGATGATGGTGATGATGCAGGTGGCGGTGATGATGGTGACTGGTGATGCTGATGATGGTGATGGTGATGACCTATGATGTTGTTGATGATGAGGATGATGAGATTGTTGCTGCTGCTGATAATGACGTTGATGATGATCATGATGTTTGTGATGGTGGTAGTGATGATGATAATGATGATGATGCTGCTGCTGCTGATGATGATGATGCTTGTGGTGATGATGGTGTTGCTGCTGATGATGATTCTGATGATGATGCTGATGCTGCTGCTGCTGATGATGATGAAACTGATGCTGATGATGATGATGCTGATGATGATGGTGATGCTGATGATGCTGCTGCTGATGATGATGAAACTGATGATAATGAGGACGCTGATGATGATGATGATGATGATGATGATGATGATGAGCTGATGATAATGATGATGTTGATGATGATGCTGATGATGGTGATGATGATGATAATGAAACTGATGATAATGATGATGATGGTGATAGTAATACTAATGATGCTGATGATGATGATGTTGATGCTGCTGATGATGATGATGATGTAGATGATGATGATGATGATGATGATGATGATGATGATGATGATTATGATTATGATGATGATGATGATGATGATGATGATGATGATGACGAGTGTGAATGATGAATTTGATGATGATGATGATGATGATGATGCTGATGCTTATGATGATGATGATGATGATGCTGATGATGATGATGATGATGATGATGCTGATGATGATGATGATGATGATGATGATGATGATGATGATGATGATGATGATGATGATGATGATGATGATGATGATTATGATGATTATGATGATGCTGCTGATGATGATGATGATGCTGCTGATGCTGATGCTGATGCTGATGCTGATGCTGATGCTGATGCTGATGCTGATGCTGATGCTGATGCTGATGCTGCTGATGATGCTGATGCTGCTGATGATGCTGCTGCTGATGATGATCTTCTCCCCCCCTTGGCGGACGGCGTGCTTTGCACAACCTCCGCTCTGGGCAGGGGGAGGCACCCAAGCCCGCGATGCAACCTGGAACCGCACGACGTCTGGGAGCACTGGGCAACCGGGAGCTGCACGGGGACAGTGGCATTCCGCAGGCAGGCGGCCGAAGGGGTAGCTGCCCGCCCGCCCAGGAGGCACCACGGGTTTAGCTTCCCCCCTCCCTTGTATCCCTCGCGCCCGACGCAGCGCCCTCGCCCCGCTCGCCCGACGCCGTGGCGTCGCGCCGCTCTCGGGAGCGGATCCGCGGCCGCCCTCGGCCCGCCAGGCGGGCGGGCTCCCCCAGCACCACGCTCCTCGTTGGGTGGAGCCCTCGTCGGAGACGGCGCAGCTCCTCCAGCTGGCGCTCCGACGCTTGGCGCAGGCAGGGCTCGGCCAGCCCCGTCACGCGCACCGAGCCAGCGTTGCAGCCGCCAGGCGTTGCAGAAGACCGTCGGGCCTGCCTGCATCAGGACGCGCGGGTCGTGGAGCTCCGCATTCCGCCATGCAGGCTGCCCGACGGCTGCTGGGCCAACATCGGGGGCCTCAGCTCCAGCGGCGCGCGCCCAGCCTCGGCCTCGACCTCCGCCACGGCCGCGGCGTCGCCGTCCTGTCCCTGGCGTGGCGGGGGGGGGAGGGGATGCGCCTCTGCGGCATGATGATGATGCTGCTGCTGATGATGATGATGGTGATGGTGATGGTGATGGTGATGATGATGCTGCTGATGATGACGATGCTGACGATGATGCTGATGATCATGCTGATGCTGCTGCTTAGAATGATGCTGATGATACTTATGACGATGACGACGAGTATGACGATGGTGCGGTTGCTGATGATGTTGCTACTGATGATGATCATGATGGCGATGCAATGATGATGATGCATATCATGATGATGATGATGCTGATGAAGATGTTGATGATGATGATGGGTGCTGATGAAGACGATGATGCTGCGTTTGATGCTGTTGGTGATGATAATGATGCTGCTGCTGTTAAAGATGATGATGATGCTGATGATGCTGATGATGATGATGACGATGAGCACGCTGGTGATCATGATGATGATGTTGTAGCGATGATGCAATGATGTTGATGGTGATGTTGATAGTGATGGTCAGGGTGGTAGTGATGGTGGTGGTGATGATGATGATGATGATGATGATGATGTTGCGGATGGGTGGTGATGATGATGATGATGATGAGGATGATGAGGATGAGGATGAGGATGCTGCTGCTGCTGCGATGATGATTATAATGGTGATGCTGATGCTGATGATGCTGATGATGCTGATGACGATGTGGAGGAGAAGGAGGAGGAGGAGCGGGGCGGGAGAGCGGGACGTCGGGGCCCGGCAGGACAAGCTCGAGCCAGGCTTCTTACAGAGGAGGAGGAGGAGGAGAAGGAGGAGGAGCAGCAGCAGCAGTGGCAGCAGCAGCGTGACGAAACGTTCACCTCCCCCGGCCGTGGAGGCTGAGGAGCAGGCATCCCGAGGGCACGCGGAGCTGTCCCAGCTGGAGTCCGAGGTGCCCCTCGGGGCGGGCAGGGATCCGGGGCGACATCTCCGCGGGAGTCAATTCAGGGACAAGTTTAGGGTTGGGGGAATTTTGCGTAGCGTGTCGCTCCGCCGGTTCTGGCCAACCACGCTGTCTATCATCTATCTCTCAGTTCCCGAGCGTCCACGTCCAGAGTTTTTCCGAGCCTCCCGCCCCGCGGAGCAGTGCAACACGCCATATGCTTGCAAGACATGGCGTATCGCCGTGGCCGCCGCCGCAACACGCTGTCCAAAAGTTCCTGCCTGTCGGGGGAATTTCGGACGTTTTGTTTGGTTTCTCTGCGATGTTCTAGCCTCGGGGTGGCTTCAGCGGCTGCGCCTCGTCGAGAGCGTTCTGGGAGGGTCTGGGTTGCCCCGGGTGGCAGCAGAAGAGCCGAACCATGGCCCAATAACGAAGGGAGAACGTGAGGGGGCGAGCGGCTCAGGTTGGAGTGCATCCACCGCCAATTGACCGTTCATTGCCCAACCCCTCCAGGAACAAGCGGATTCGATATCGGTCGGAGGTTGATAAGCCTCCTACCCTGACGCGTCGATTAGCGAATTGGCCGTTTTCGGTTCGCGAGAGGGCGTCGCGGCCGTCATTTTTGCGGGTCCGGGTCCGTCGGTTTCGGTCCTAGGCCATTTTCGCTAAAGGGTGGTTTGCTAAAGAGAGGTTTGTCCGCCGCCGACAGGAACAAGCGGACTCGATATCGGGTCCCATCGCCGAGTTATCTGCGGTACATCGTCGATTCCAGGTCCATGTTCCCCCTCTGAGCTGGTCCCCCCCCAGAGGTTCCCTTCAGCAGCGCTCCTAGACTTCCCAGCAGTCGAACAGCGAGAAACGGCATGAAGACATACTGCACTCAATGGGGAGAATTGCCCTCACCAGGGTTGGCCAGAGGAGGCTGGTCGGGATAGTTGGCCAGGTTATGGGGGGTTCGCCAGGGGGTTGGCCAGGATTGTCGCTGAACCGGAAGTTTGCGCGTGCACCATCGCGAAATCTATGGGAAGCTTTGCCATTGTAAGCAATTGGCAACCACATGTAAAGACAAGCTTTCGCGGAGGTCTATGAGGATTTCATTGGCAAGGGTTCTCGTTGGGTTCCCTGGCGGCGGCGGCGGTGCCGCCCTGGCAGCGCCTACCCAAGAAATCCGCGCGGACCTCGGAAAGTTTTAATGTTTTGGAGTGCCATCCTCGTCCTCACTTGCTTCTGGGGTCAGGCGGTGAGGGCATGGGTTGGCTCTGTGTGTAGGGTTTGGGATGGCTCCATCTCTATTGGGGAGGATCGTCTCCGTCTTCACTCGCTCTTGTCGGGTCGGACGAGAGGGAGTGGGGGGTGGGATTGGGAAAGGGAGGATGGTACGAAAATTGAAAGCTGCTGCGTGCAGCTGGTTTCCGTCCCGCCGAGGGGCGCTTTTCCTCGGTACGCGTGCGCCTCCGGCAGCAGGAGGCGTCAGAACAACCATTTGCATGAGTTGATTCGCTAATTTTCCCCTTCGCTCACGTCCTTCCTGCCCAATTTGGGGGGCTGCGGGTCAGGCGCTGAGAGGTCGTGGGGTTGGGGTCGTGGGGGTCAGGTTCTCGCGTTATGTCTGGGGAATTGGGGTTGAGGCTTGGTTCCTTTGGTTGAGAGGTGGGTGGATGGTGGGGTGGGGAATTCTTTGGCCTGGGAGCTTTGGGGCTGCGGTCCGAGTTGGAACCATGGATGTCGGGACACAGCAGTATATTTCGAGCCTTGTCGGGGTCACGAACGCTGGATCTTTCTTGATTTCGTGTGGTTTCCTGTGTGATTTGGGACATCTCTGAGGTTCCAGCTTTTCGGTCCAAGATGGGTTCAGGATGGCCTGGATGAGCGGATAAGCATCTGCAGACGCTCTCAGCGGGTCCCAATATGGGCTTCGAGTGCCCCAAGAGTCAAAATAATCGGCGCCTAGGTGCCGCTGAGGACAGCCCAGAACTGCTCCGACACGGCCTCGAGGCACTCCCCGACCGTGGACGTCATGACCCGCCAGGGGCCAATTTGAGGCTCTCAGTGGGACCTTTCGGGATTTCGAGATCCAAGAGTGGTGTGATCTTGGACCGAAGCGCGTGGACAGCGAAAGCATGGACGCGCCTCTGGAGCAATCATGTTTTTGGCAGCTCGATGGCCTCCTGGAGTGGGTCTTGTGGGTGTCGTGGGTCCTCTTGGAGGCTCTTGGGAACTACTGGGCGCTTCTGAGAAGCTCCTGGGTGCGTCTTGACGCGATTGGGGGCCGTCATGGCAGCCTTGGTGGCCTGCCCGGGCCGTCGTGAACACCTCGGAGATACTAGGGCACGCTAGGGGCGCGTTGGACCGCCCGGGGAGCCTCCGGGGTCGAGGAAGCGCAAACAATGATCAGGGCGGGAGGATTGGCGACAGGTCCCGTTTCCGATGAGGCGGCGCTGATCTCATGTTTCGGGGGTGCATTCCCGATCCGTGGATCTGGCGCCCGCGCGCCAGATCCACGGATCCCTAATCCATGTTGGCGTGCCCGAGGGAGGACGCCCGAGGAGGAGGAGGAGGAGGAGGAGGAGGAGGAGGAGGAGGAGGAGGAGGAGGAGGAGGAGGATCGGTGCACGCAACACTCAGCAGTGCGCCAGGAGAGGGGCGGGGCCTCCGAAGATCATAGGCGCCATGCCGGCGAGCCCTTGGCATCCTGCCGCGCCTCCGCGTGCCAGGGGGGCACGGAGGCGGATGCGGCCGGTCGAGTGTGCCGCCAGGTCTTACCAGCCTGGAACATATCCGTATCCCTATTCTTGGCACCATGCCAATCTTAGGGATTCCCTTACTTTTTGAGGGCAAATCCCTAAGATTGTCATCGACTTTTGGCGTGTCAATCTTAGGGATAGGGATACGTTCGAGGCTGGTAAAGGTCGGGGAGATTCGGGGCCGCCGTGCGCTCTGCCGCCACCTCGCAGGCTGCCGAGCCTCTGTGCCGATGGCCGCGGGTCCAGCCCCCCCGACCCTGGTGAGTCTGCTCCATTCAAGCAGTGGCGAAGCGTCCTGGCTCGCCTATAGGCCCACCAAACAATGTTCTAAGAGCCTCTTGTGATCTGCACGAGGAAATGTTCTCAGAACATTTCTGGCTGGGGCTGTCTTGTCTTAACACATCGGGCTTATGTTCTAAGAACACGGTCTTCATTCGTAGAACCTTCCTGGGTTCTAAGAACATGTCGTGATAGGCCAATAGGAATGCTGGGACGGTCGGTCCCTGCTCAATCCATGCGCTGGTTGAGGAAGAAGCCCGCTCTCGAATGCGACTTCTTTCCCGGTGCCTCCCTGGTCGCATCCATCGGTGCCCCTTGCAGCGCCGTGGCGTGGCGGCAATTCGCGCTTCCATGCTGGCACCTGAGGCCCGGTGCCCGCTCCCATCCCTCCCCTTGGGCGTTTCGTAATGGGGGGGTCATAAATGGGGGGGTGGCGAGCGTGGCCTGAAAAGGTACCCAAACGGTACCTAAACGAGCCCCCTGGGGCTCTGGAGGGGCCCGAAAGGGGCTCGAAAGGGGACCTTTTCTGACCCCCCCATTTGTGACCCCCCCATTACGCCACGCCCAATCCCCCTCCCCACCCCGGCGCCCCCGAGCTGCACGCAGGAGCCACCCTTCGCCGGAGCGACCTCTCCACTGCGCGGCCTCCAAGGCGGCGCCCGCGGGGCGGCCTGCGGGCCCAGGCGCGCAGGCCGCCGCCGCTCGCACACTGCGTGCAGCGGCCGGCAAGCCCGCGCCGGACTGGCTGCACGGATGCGCCCGTGCTGCAACGAGGCACGGGCCGCGTTCCAAGCGTCCGCTTTTCGGGGGTGGACAGAACCCCCAACAGTGACACGTCGATTAGTGAATTGTCCGTTTTCGGTTTTCGAGAGGGCGCCGTGGCCGTTATTTTAGAGGCTTGCGCCCGCCAGGTTTGGGCCTCAGGTCGTTTTCACTAAACCACGTTTTGCTAAAGGGGGGTCTGTCCATCCCCGAGCTTTGGCACGCTGCGTGTTGGCTCGACACGTGCTGGCCCGCGCCAGAGCTGCGTTTCCGGTCTATGTGTGGAGCTCCGTGTCGGCAGGGGCGGCGGCGGTGGTTTTCGGGCGATGGCCCGGGCCCCGGGCTGCCGTTCGGGAGGATCCGGGCCCCCCCAGAGCGCTCTCGGCGAGGCGCAGCTGCTGGAGAACACCCTGAGGCTGGAAAACCTGGAAAACCTGGAAACCTCGAACCTCGAGCGCAGTTGTAGAACTATACAGGGATAAATCGTTCCGGAGCGTTCCATCACGCTCTCGGAGCGTTCGATTCTCTGAGAAGGCCGCGGCGCCCGATGCATCCTCCAGAAACGCCAAATCTCAGAGATCTCCGATTGGTCCTTGCCCTTCAAGCAGTGGCGCATCGTAGCCTTGGATTTTTCACACATGGGTCCTATGTTCTAGGTCCGATGTTCTAAGAACATGGTTTTGGCTCTTAGGACAGTGTTTGGTTCTAGGCGCGTTCCGTGGTAGGCCTACAGGACTGCTGGGACCGTCTGTCGCTTCTCTGGTCCTGGCCTCGTCTTGCCCCCCCGCCCCCCCGCGACAAGGTGCGGGAGGAGCGCGCGCAGACTCAGCTGCTCCGCGGGCTGCTCGCGCGCGCCCGCGCCGACGCCAGCGCGGCGTCGGCCGCGCGGCTGGCGTCGCGGCGGGGTGAGGAGGATTTGCCCTGTCGCCACTGTCTTCGCCGATGATGATGCTGCTGATGCTGATGATGTTGATGATGATGCTGATGCTGGTGATGCTGATGATGCTGATGATCTGATGATGCTGATGCTGATGCTAGTGCTGTTTATGATGATGACGATGCTGATATTGACGATGATTATGCTGACGGTGACGGTGATGATGATGATGCTGATGGTGCTGATGATGCTGATGGTGATGGTGATGGTGATGATGATGATGATGATGATGATGATGATGATGCTGATGATGATGATGACGGTGATGGTGATGGTGCTGATGATGCTGCTGATGAGGATGAAGATGATGATGGCGATGATGATGATGCTGATGCCGTAGCCGCTGCTGCTGATGATGACGACGATGATGATGATGATGACGCTGTCGTCGGTGATGATGATGATGAAGATCATGATGATGATGCTGATAAGGATGCTAAGGATGATCATTATGCTCATGACCATTATGATGATGCCGACGGTACAGACGATAAACATGAAGATGAATCTGTCAATGATGATTTTGCTAATGATGCTTATGATGATGATGATGATGATGATGATGATGATGATGATGATGATGATGATGATGATGCTGACGATGATGATGATGATGATGCTGAGGATGCTGATGATGATGATGCTGATGCTGATGCTGATGCTGATGATGATGATGATGATGATGATGATGATGATGCTGATGATGATGATGATGATGATGATGATGATGATGATGATGATGATGATGATGATGATGATGATGATGATGATGATGATGACGATTCTGAGGATGATGATGACTGTGACAATACGGTGGAGGTGCTTGTTAAGGAATATGCCCAGGAGGTGCCAGACCCTGGAGGATTCCTTATCCAATGCGGGCGGCGGTGATATCCATGGCCAGTCCACGATTGGAGCCCCACCGGCCTCCAGACCCTGGATTCCTTATCCAAGGGTTCCTAATCCAATGCCCCACCGTGTGTGTCCGTAGCCATTTTGGCTCAAGCCGTTTCGGCGCGAGCTGGTTTCTTGAGCTGGTCTCAGCTCGCGTTTGTGCTCACTTACTTCGAAGCGGCGGAGTGGGCACGAGCCAATCTTTCACGACGACGGCCCCACCCGCGGCAGCCCGTGGGCCATGGCGCCGGCACTTTCGGACCCTGGCATCATCCCAGGCGCGAGCAAGACACCCCTCTGGGCTTGCTCCTGCGGGCGGGATGGCAACTGGGCGTCCAGGACGCGCTGCCGCCAGTGCGGCAAGGCGGCTCCCACCCACGTGGTGCAAGCAGCCAAGCTCTCGGCAGCAGCAGCCAACGGGCCAGCTCCCAGCACGTCTCGCCCGCGCGGGGCCTGGGCGCAGGGCCCGCCAGGCCAAGGTCAGCTTCTGGCGCAGCTGCAGCAGCTTCAGAAGCAGGTGGCGGAGCTCAAGGGCGAGGCCCCGCCCCCGTCGGAGCCCTGGAAAGGACGCAAGCCCCCGTCCAGGAAGGCGCCCGAGGCGGAGGCAGGCATCTCCTTCAAGGAAGTTCGCACCTTCTTGGAGAAGCAAGGGCTGGACACCAGCGCGGTCGAGGAGGCAGAGAAGGCGGCGGAGTCGAAGCTGCTCGAGGGCAAGCAGCCAACGGCACAGACGCAGCGCTGGCGTGTCAAGGCCATGCGAGACAAGATCAAGAAGCTCGAGCCCAGAGAGGCAGCAATTGTGGAGCAGCAGGCCGCTTTGGACAAGGAGCTCCAGGAGCTCAGGGTCGCCCTCAGCGAAGAAAACCAGAAGCTCTCGGAGGGGGAGGCCAAGCTGGTCAAGTTGCAGGCCAGCGAGTTCCCCGACCCGATCCAGGCAGTGGCGGCAGGGCTGGATGAGGACGTCGTCGCCTGCCAGGAGGCCAAGGATGCCCTCGCGGTCCTGGCCCGCCTGCAGTCCGCGGCCAGCGACAGCAAGAAGGCAGCTGCCTCGGCCAGGGCCGCTGCTGCTCCTCCTGGTCCTGCTGCTGGGGAGCCTGACGCGGGCGGGGAGCACCAGCCTGTGCCAGAATCAGACGACATCGACATGGAGCTGCTCGGAGGCGAAGGCTGGGAAGAGAAGCACGAGGAGTTCGTTGCAGCTTCGGCAGCCCTCCGTGAAGCGACCCCTGAGCAGCGGGAGGAGGCCAAGCGCAAGCTGCGTGACGCCCTGGATGCGCTCTGGGCGGCGGGCAAGCGGCCTCGTCACCTTTGACCCCTGGCCCATCGCGTGCCCAGAGGCGGAGCCCAGCCCCCAGCCTAGGGCCGAGGCGGCAGGAGAGGGGAGGCCCGCGGCGGCCGTCAGGCTCCAGCTGGCCAAGCTTGTGAGGCCTTCGGTGCAGCAGGGCGCCAGCTTCGTCAGCATCAACGGCTCCACTTGGGCGGAATCCCCGACGGCCCTGGAGCAGCTGCTGGACGAGAAGGCCAGGGACGACGTGTACCTCATCCAGGAGACCCGCTTCACCTCGGCGTCGGCTACTGGTTCGGCCCGTGCCTGGTGCAAGAGGAACGGCATCAACGCGGCCTTTGGAGTGTGCCGCAGCACGGGGTTGGCGGTCCAAGCCGTCTCTTCTGGAGTTGGAGTGCTAGTCGGGGAACACCGCGGAGTGGCCCCGATAGACCAAGACTGGGGCCTGCACGCCTCAAGGATTCTGGCGAGGCGAGTCGCATTCGGGGACCTGGTCGTGGTGTGTGTCAGCCTGTACCTGCAGTGCTCGGTCAAGCTCAATGAGACCAACGTGGACCTCTTGAGTGAGCTGCAAGGATTCCTCCTGGGTTTGAGAGAGCCCTTCGTAGTGGGTGCAGACTGGAACCTGGAGCCCAGCCTCCTAAGCAGCTCGTGGTGGCCTCGCGCCGCGGGGGCGGTGATTGTGGCGCCCGACGAGCCGACCTGCGGGGTAGGCACATATGACTTCTTCGCAATCTCCGAGGTACTGGCGGGGCTAGGGCCGAAAGTGACGGTGCTAAGGCATGCGACCACGCACCCGCACGCCCCAGTCAGGCTCACTTTCGAGAAGCTGAGCAGCCAGGCGGGTGTCTGGGTGCAGAAGGGCCCCAAGCCCTTTGAGCTGCCTGCGGCCAAGCAGGAAGGGGTCCAGCTCGAGCCAGAGGAGGAGGACTCGCTGACGGACTGGAAGGCACCGCTCCTGGACGAGAGGGGGAGCCCAAACAAGGCGATCATGGAGTTCTTCGACCTGGCGGAGGAGCGGTTGATTCGCAGCTTCGGCATCAAGGACGGCGCCAAGTTCAAAGGCAGGGCGCAGGGGATCAAGAGGGTGCCCAAGCAGCTCATCCACCTCCTGCGCTCGGAGGAAGTGCGAAGGACCAGCCCGCTAACGCGCTGTTGGGTATCCTTTGGGCGCTCAGCCACGCAGCTGGCGGCAGCGGCGTCGGTGCCCCACCTACCGCCTGGACACCACGAGCATGTCAAGCGGCTGCAGGCGGCAGCACTCGGTCTGGTCCCCAAGTTCGAGGCTGTGGGCTGCCAGATGTTCAGCGGCACCAAGATGGCGACGATGCTGGCGGAGATCCATGGCAGGACGCTGCAGGGGGAAACCTTTCTCCAGGCCATCAGCGCCGCCGTGGAGGTCAAGCGCAGGGAGGATGCCAAGCTCGCCAGGCAGCGCTGGAAGGAGTTCATGGCCGAGGCCCTCAGTGGGAACGGCAAGGGCGCCCACGCGATCAGCAAGCAGGCCAACCTGGAGACCTGCTCCATCCTAGGCCCAGGAGAGGGAGCGGCCCCTCCCGTCCCGCTGGTTGGACAGCAGGCCCTAGACATAATCCTGCATGAGTGGAAGGCGCTCTGGCACAAGGAGGGCCCCGACGGCGTTCGCCCCGAGGAGTGGGACGAGTAGTGGGGGCTAGGCGCCATCGCGGGCGATGAGGTGCTGACAGCGGCCAGGACCTTCCCCAGGAAGACGGCGCTCGGATGGGGCGCCTTCCACCCCAGGCTCATCCTCAGCCTAGGCAGGGAATGCGCTGACAGGCTGGCGGACATCTTGACAGCCTGGGAACGGCACCCCCAGCAGTCGGAGCTGTTCGCCACGATAATCGTCTTCTTGGGGAAGCCAGACGGGGGCCGCCGCCCAATCGGGCCCCCCTGCATGTGGATGCGCATCTGGAGCCGCATCAGGCGCAAGTATTGCGCGAACTGGGAGAAGGACCACAGGCCCCCCGAATTTTGGGGGGCTGACTCGGACACTTGCTGTGACAGGGCGGCCTACATCCACAACCTCCTGCTCGGGCTGGCGCGGGAGAAGAACTTCGAGGCGGCTTCGGTCTACTTCGGCACCAGCAAGTTCTACGAGCAGATCAGGCACAGGCTGCTCCTCGAAGCGGCGCGGGGCTGCGATTTCAACACTGGGTTGATACAGGCGCTGTGTGCGCTGTATTCGGGCCCCCGCAGGGCCAGGGCAGACCTTGCCCTCAGTGAGCAGCTGGCCGTAGACGACACAGTCATCGCGGGTTGCTCCTGTGTTACGACCATGGCGAGGATCATGGTATACGACCTCCTGCTGCGTTCGAGGAAGTTGCTGCCCATTGGCAGGGTAGTCAACGTGATAGACGACATCTCGGGCCATGGCATAGGCACGCGAAGGCTGGTGGCAGATCAGATCGCCAGGTTCGCGAAGGGAGTCGCCACCATGCTCGGCGAGAAGAGGCTCCCCATCAACTGGGGAAAGACCAAGGCACTGGCCTCCTCGGTGAAGTTGAGGAGAGAGCTGCAGCAGCACGCCGACTGGGTCCTCGCCGACGAGGCCTTCGTCGCTGGACACCGCGACCTAGGAGGAGATGCGACGGCGGGAGGCCACCGCAGGGTCGGGGCGCAAGTGGCCAGGGAGCTGGCGGCTCTGCGGCAGGGCAACAATATCACCAGGATCTTCGGCTCGGGGATGAGGCAGGCCAAGATCCAGAGGGCAGGTCCCGCTGCCAAGGCTCTGTGGGGTTCGGCCATCAACGGGATCCCGCCAGGTCGCATGAGGGCG